TTTTCTCTATTTTTGGTCTAGTAAAAAGAAGTATTTTTAGAAAGTATTGACTGTCTTGTCTCTGAGAATGTAAATGACTAAATCTTATTCAAACACCATATGCATTATAGGCAGATTTTTTTATCTGATGAGATTTCTAATTATTTAGAATAAAACTGGTTTATTGAGATTGTAAGTAAAAAGATTTGTATATCAAAGTAAAGCTCCAATTTAAATTTTCTGGAATAGATCCATCATATTAAAAAAGATTTTTTTTTTCTTTAGTGTTCCATGTTCTCTGTTTTTGCTGACCTGTTTCTCCCTTATGACTGACCAAACTAAAAGACAATGCATTTTTCTTGAATGTATATATTTTTAGTAAAAGAACAGAATGTTTTCCTCTGTGCCATTCATTAATAATGTGAAGGGGGGGAGTTGCTTGTGTATGTGTGTGTGTGTGTGTGTGTGTGTGTGTGTGTAACTTTACCAGAATCCCTGTTGGTTGAAGGCCTTGTAAACTTGTATAAAGGAGGAAGTAGTAAACAGGCAAAGGAGAGGGAAGGGACAGGCATTTTCTGATATTTAAGGATATGACAATGAATGGATACCTTGGTCATTTAAAAAAAAGCCTACTGCTTGGATGGGTAAGATTAAACCACTTCTGTTATTGTAAATCAATAACAATATTGTTACTGTTTAATCAGTAGTGTCATCTTCATGTAAAAGAGGCAGCATGTTACTATTACTATGCTCTCATTCAACTTTTTTGGAGAATGAAGTTTTTCACATAAATTAATTTCCCAACATACTGTTGTAGAAAAAGCTTGGGTTTGGAGCCAAAAAGAACAGAATTCAAATTCTGTTTTACCAACAAGCTTGTGACAGTAGACAAGTCACATAGTTTCTCTATAACTTAGCTTTCATTTATGTAAAATCAGATTAATAATGCCTGCATTGTGGGGCTCTTGTGGAAAATCCTCTAACATGGTGTCTGGCTGTAGTGGTATTTAATGATGACTCTCCTGTGCTTTCTTCGCTCCCTCTGCACACCATTGTCAGAGCACTTCACACTCTCCTGATCTCTGGATCTCTGTTTATTTGACTATCTCTGGGGATAAACTCTGCTTTTCATCTCATCTCTGGCACTTGGGACACTGCCAGGCGTGTTAAGTGAATGGAATAATTTAAACAATGAAATTTTATCTTAATACTTTAAAATAGAAATATTTTTAAATGTCTTGTTAAGTATTAATCTATATGGAATCTATTGGAGAGATGTGGCACTGACTTGGATATGTTCATGGAGACCTGGAGACTCTGTGCCCAGTTAGATCACCACTAGATGGGGATCTTACTCACTTCGGTACCAGTGGAAAGACTGCTCAGTTTTTTACATTTCCCTTTGAGCTATATGTTACATTTCCTGCCTTAATATCAGCAGATGCCAAGAGGTTAGGTAATTTTTTTAAGGCCATGTGACTAACACATAGCCGTATTGCCATTTAAACTTAGCTTTTTTTTTTTTTTTTGCTTATGTCTAGTACATTTTTGACGATATTAAATAAGTACATTTGGAGTACATAGTGTGTGACACATAGTGCCAATTAATGGTAGTTGCTATTATTATTGTTACATCAAAACTACCTCTCTTAGGTTTGAGGATCTGCCCCATGCATGGATTATTAGAACAATCTATAATGGACTTATGCAAAAGAGTTGAACTCTTCCATGGCTATGTATCTGGTGGACCACTACAGTCGCTCCTGACTCTGAGTCATGACTAGTCACAGCCCTAGGATTTGAAGCTCCTCCCCTCAAGTCACTGCTCTTGTCCTGATAGAATACTGAGTAACTTCTTGCTTCATGGCGACTGGACCATTGCTGCTGACAGTGTTGTTGCTTGGTGGCTTCATTTCTCTGGTTGCTATTGATCTGCATGCTTCCACTGTTCCTATTGCCTGCCACTACGGGCACTGTGAAAGTTGAAGTTTCGTTTGGGGTTTTGTTTTGTTTTGTTGTGTGTTTTGTTTTGTTTTGTTTTGTTTTTGAGACAGGATCTGTCTCACTCTGTTGCCAAGACTGGAATGCAGTGTAGCCCAATTATAGCTCACTGTAACCTCGAATTCCTGAGCTCAAGCAATGAAGTATGTTTTTAATACCCAGGCCAGTGAGCACAACTCTGTGTTGGGGTTCCAAAAGGGTGGTCAGCTCTCTGTTTGGGGCCCATTCAATTCATTTACAGAATAATCTATGATTTCTTTTGCATACAATGGTTGGAGAAGAGATAGGATGATCCTCTTGATTTTAGTTCTCTGCCTCAGTTTTGTTCTCCCTAGAACTTTAGGTCTCCGAGTCATGAGTCTGTCTGGGATTCTGCAGCGTGGGTTCCTCCTAAATTTGTATCTTAGGCCAGAATTTTGTTGTGGATCAGTTGCTGGTCTGCTGGTGTGCTGATTCCACTCAGCTCCTCAAAGGATATCACCTCTCTTTACCCCAGTATACCATACAAATATTGCCATTTTGTGTGTGTGTGCTCAAATTTAAAAATATTTAAGAAGCACTGACTGCCCTAGGTTTCAGCTCCTTCAGTTCACTTTCATCAATTATCACTGTACCATCTATTTTTTTATCTTCCAGACACTGGTTGAAAATTTTCATCTGATGGCCCTTTTCCCATTTACACTTCAACATTCTGAATTATACTGTTTGTAACCCTTTATTCTCATATTAGTGGGCTCTTAGAAGGGAAAAAAGATGCACGCCAAGGTCAAGATACCATTTTTAAATGAAAATTGTGTTTTTAAAAAATTTATTAAGGTATAATTAACTTATAACAAACAACAGCTATTTAAAATGAGACAATTTGGTAAGTTTGATATGTGTATCCATTTGTGAAACCATTGCTACAAGCAAGGTACCTACTGTGCTATGAAGAAACTGAAACTTAGAGAAATCCGAAAGCTCAAGTTGGAACCCAGGTCTATATAAGGTCTCAAGATCCATCTTAGGGGCTATAAACCCTGAGTTCTATCTGAGACAATAACCACTAATTATTTCTCATTTGTGTGGCAAAAGCACACAGTCTCTGAATGTAACTACTAATTTCTTCAGGAGGAAGAAATCATTGTGCCAAATGACCCTAATGTCTTTTTCAACTTTAATTCCTTTCCTTCGTTCATATTTCTTATACAGAGTTAGAAAATCTCTGTTCAAATACAGTTTGTCTTAACTAAATGAAACTGCACCATTCTCTGTAATTTTCACAGTGGAACTATACAAGAAATTAAAATTGTATCTCTTTTCTCATAGGAAAGTGTTTAAGAAGCTTGTGGAATGATGTGAGTCAGAGTAATACAGGATCAGCAAGAAGTCCCTCAAGATAGTTGGTGAGACAATAAGAATTTTGTTTTCTTCAAATGTATTGTATAATTATTTTTCTGACTATAACTTCATAGCCTTGTGCTCACAAGAGACATTTTCTTCAATCTTTAATTATATGATTTTTAAGCTTACCAGTGCTGGAAGCTGTAATAGTTACCTAAAGCTTAGCTATATTCTTCACTTTTGCCAGAAAATTAAGATTTTATATAGATACAGATATTCATAATGATCTAGATATAGACCTATCTATCTAAAGAGCTGTCTTTTCACTTCTCAGATGTTATCTTCAATGACTAAAGTGCCATAGCCCAAAATATATCATACATCTAACATCTATACACAGACATGTATTATTTATGTGCTAAGGGTATATAATGTTTTTATGCAAAGCTGGAATCAAATTTGACTGCTGTGAGACCTGACGATTTATTTTCTACTTCTTCAGTCTTAGGAAAAGAAGAATTTCTGGACTCTTCATCAAGATCTTCGTTTATACAGCTGTTAAATCCAAGGCTACTGTGGTGAAAGCATGTATAAAAATACATCTGCTGTAGTATCATCCAGTCTACTTGAAAAGTAATTTTTAAATTAAATGTTTGGAAATATCATAGTTTGAAATATGTAGATTATTAGTGAACATTTGTTTGAACTTTTTTACAGGTAGCTGTCTAATGTAGTCTAGGATGACAGTAATGATAAAGTAATACATTAAATTACCTTTCAGTGTACATCAATGTCTGGGACAAAATCTGCATTCTCTATAAAATCATTTGTAGAGATTGCTTTTTTAAAATATTTGATTTTTGAATATCTAAAATATCTTATTATTCTAGTATAAACATTACATAATGTAAGATTCGTTCTTGCTGACTAACAAACCACTCCAAAGTGCCTTAAAACAATAAGCTTTTATTCTTTCTCATGATTCTGAGGGTTGGCTGAACAGTTCTGGCCTTAACCAGATGATGTAAGATGGCTTCATTCGCATGTTCTGAGGTCTCAGCTAGGAAGGCTGGATGGCTGAGGTTTCTTTAGACCTGGTCTATTGAGGAGGTTAACTCAGGCTTTTTCATGTGGTGGCAGAATATTCCCAGCAATAAGCACAAGTGTTTTTCAAACATCTGTTTTCCTCACATTTGCTGGTAACCCATTGGCCAGAGCAATTCAAATAGCCAAGTCCAAATTCAATGAATGTAGATACAGACTTTATTTTTTAGTGAAAGGGATCAGTAAAGCCACATTGCCAGGGAACGTGCAGACAGGGATGAGAAGAATTGGTGGCCATTTTGTAAATATAACATAAATTTAACAAGGTGTATTCAGAGAAATCTTACTCTCATTCTTGTCCTTCACTCTGTGCCCTTATTCCTCCTATAGAAAGTCATTTTTATTCTTGATTCTTTTTAGTGCATCTTTTGCATA